AAAAAAATTATTTGACTTCTATTAGACTCCAAATTGTAGTAATGCATCTGAAGATAAAAATTTGGAATCAAAGGGCCTAGATGGGCTTGGACCCTTGGAAGATTCCACATAAAGATTGCTGAGGAAAAAAAGAGAGGAAAACACTTCTTATATTTTTGGAAACATCATAGCACATACCATGAACTAATGCATATCGAACCAAGTATGAATATTTGGCATGAACACTGCCAGAGGAATGATACAGTTGAATCTGAACTCTTTCACATAATTCATAAAGGATTTTTTTTTTTTGATTAAGTGCCAGGGCCGTAAGGACATGAAACATGGGGGACTTATGGATGGTATGTCTAAAAAAATATTCAGAAACAATGCACAGAAAAAACACTAACAAATAATCGATGTGACACTTTGGGTATAGTACAATCATATAATCCTACTTACCAATGGGTTCGGGCAGACTCAGATGTCTACGAAGGCCATCAATCCCAGCAGCAATTATAGCAGCCAGCCCCAAGTGTGGATTTGCACACCCATCAAATGCTTTAATCTCAAAGTTGCTCACAACACCATTTGGAACCCCAGGTGGGCATGCGGTTCTCAGGGGTGCTTCTCTGTTCTCTTTTCCCCAGCACTGGTATGCTCCACTCCACATATTGGGCACTATGCAATCATAACTACATTCCAATAACAGTTGAACAAGGAAATTAGAGAAAACAAACTATATTATTTTTTGTTAATTTAATACACATCTATTTGAAGTTCAAAAGCCCAACAACGTACTAAAATTTTGATCCTTCAAACTGCATAAATTTGGAAGTGAAGAAATGGGCAAAAAGAATTTGCACAGAAGGGCATTATTTAAATTTAGCAAAAAGGGAGCATCGACAATTAGAATAAGTGTCAAAAGTGCACCCTCACTTTACAAGCTAGCTATTGGGGTTGAGTTTTACACAAGATCATATCACACAAACAACTTATGATAAGAATAGGAAAAGAATACATGTATTTTTTAAAAATAAGTTACATATTCTGCTGAAAATTGAAATCCTTCAATTCATCAAAAATTGAATTTCATTCAAAATTTCAAACATCTTATCTGTCTTTTCATGTTTCTAGGCCAACGAGTTCTACATAAAAACTTCCAGATTAGAAAAAGGTCCGTGCATAAAAATTAATAAATTCGAGTTTGCAGGGAGAAGTAAAAATGCAAGGATCTGTTTATTTCAATTCAAATGATTAATTGGGAAAAAGTCTTTGCAGAATAGTGGCTCCAGGAATTATTGTGAGATATCTGCTTTCTTCATGCAGGACTGAAAGCGATGGAAACATCACCTTGAAAGGTTTTCCTCAAGATCAATAGTACACCCATCAAATTTCCAAATATAACTGCATGCTTAAAAAATAATTTTATGTAGACAAGATATTTTAACAGAACTGGTAAAAATGCATACTTCTCTGTGAGTACCTAACTACCTATTCATATGGGTTCAATCAACTCTGACACATGTTTTGCACAAGAATCATCAAAATTATAAGAAAAAATTAAAAACCTGTTTGGAATTGGTGCCGTAAAGGCCAGAATTGAAGGAAGATGATTTAAAACCCCTGCCATGAACTCTTCTCCAACCTTGGACATTCCATGCTTAGAGTGTCCACCAGATGCCATAAATACATTTTCCCCATTTTCCCACAAACTGAGATGCACATGAGATCCAGAACCAACATCATTTAATGCATACCTGGGGCAAACAAAAAAATGGAGAAAACAGCTATGAGACATAGCTTGAAGAAAAAAATTCTGCATGTGAGGAAATGAGTAAAGCTCAACTTTGAGTGAGTATTTTTAACACTGACTGATCCTCTTGCAGAGTATTTATGAACTATTACAACAAAACATAAAAAATAAACTGAATTTTATTTATTTTTTTACAATTAATTATAACTTCAAAGCAGTATTTCTTACCCTTGAGGTCTTTTTCTAAAAAAAATTTATGGGTAAATTACACTAACACCCTTGAAGTTTTTGACAAGGACACCCTTCAGGTTTCTAAAATAACACTAACACCCCTTGTCAAAAATGTTGGCCTAATGACGTTAACAGAACAAGTGGAATCACATTTTTACCCTCTTGCAAAATCATATTTAACAAAAAATAGTCAAATATTGTATAGTGCAGAAACCTTAGAAAGATTCAATCAGTCATCGCACTAGCTCTCGGAAATGATATAGAAAAAATCCCGCGGTCATTTAGCATGGTAGGTTTGACATATAGGGTACATAAAGGATATGACATATTTGTAGATGATTGTTGATGAAACAATAAAATACAAGGCAAAGGAAAATGTTTGCCCAATACAAACAATAAACGAAGATATTCATTTTTTCCCCTTTAATCCAACAGAATAATGTTGATCATACTTCTTATATCATCATATGGATAGAACAATCTCCTCACTGTTCGTCCAAACCATTATAGGATTCTTACTACTAAACAATGAAAAGTGTAAAAGAAGAAGAACAAGTTGACTGTGTTTTGAGCATAGAAAGAAGATAAATATTTTTAGAAAACAATTTCAAGAAAAAAGAGGGGGAAAGACAGAGGGTCAAACAATTTCAAGTTGACTATTTGGCATATCCTTTTTGAAATATTCACCACTTTTTATGGGGTATACCTACCAATGTCAAGCAATTCGACCCATAAATCTGATTTGAAAATTTTTCCAACTTTGAACCAAATATCTCTCAGAAGTTTCATAAAGACGCATGATTGAAGAATCCACCAATTGCTCATAATATATATATCTATATATATATAGAAAAGAAAATTTGAATAAAACAAAAAACCCATCAAATTCATGTAACAAAAAAACAAACCCACAAGAACAATGAAAAAAGAATAATCAAGACCCACCAACTGTTCGATCAAATGTATGAATCAAAAAATGCCGAGATTTGATCAGAAACTGTTACCTTAGTACCAGGGGCTGCTTGGCGGATCTCCTCCTCGGGGATAATAACAGGCCACTGCTCACCGGCGTCGCGGAACATTTGCTCAGTCTCGAGAAGCTGACCCTTGTTGAGAATCGTGGTCATGCTGGTCGCTCGTCCAAACCAAAATTTGCCGCTCGTCGCTCGCCTCCGTGAGAGAGAGAGAGAGAGAGAGAGAGAGAGAGAGAGAGTTGTTTCGAAGCTTAGGGCTCTACAAACCTGAAAGGAAATGAAAAAGGGGGGGAAAGATAGAGGGAAAATATGGGGGAAATAAGTTTGGGAGGACGGGCAGGTCATTGAAAAAAGGGGGATAATTTGTTTCATTTTTATTTTAATGAATTTTTTTTTATTTGGTAGAAGTAGGGGTAATATTTTAATAAAAAATATTTTTCGTTAAAATAAAATTAATTTTTTAAGGTCAATTAAAAATATTTTTTTGTGGCCCTTTTTTTTTGGTTACTAAAAATCAAGAACTAATTTTTTGTGGTAGAGGAGAGGGAGCGACAGTAGTGGTGAAGGTCGTGGATAAGAGGTGATGGTGGTGGTAGTGGTGGTGGTGATGGCGAAGGAGATTAGTGGTGAAGTTGTGGTAGTGGTAGAGGAGATAAAGTCGTGGTGGTAGAGGAGAGGTAATAGTAGTAGTAGTGGTGGTAGTGGTGGTAGTGGTAACGATGGTGGTAGTAATGTTAGTCGTAGAGGTGGAGTGACAACTATGGTAATAATGCTGGTAGTGGAATGACATTTGCAGTAGTAGTGAATGTGGTAGAGAAGATGGGTGGTGAGAGAGAGATGAGTGAGAGACAGATAGAGAAGAGAGAGAGAGAGAGAGAGAGAGACAGTGATAAGCGCGAGAGAGAGACAAAGTGGTCACTAAAAGTGCATTTTCTTGTAGTGAAGAGCTCGGTAAATAGAGAAGATGAGAGAGAGAGAGTGAGCAAGGTAAACACAATGGGGGAGAGAGACAAACAGACGGATAGACACACAGAGAGAAAGAGAGAGAGACAGAGAGACAGACATAGAGAGAGAAAGAGATAGAGAAGAGTGATGAGAGAGAAAGAGATAGAGAGAGAAAGAGATAGAGACAGAGACAGAGAGAAACAAGAGATGAGTGAGAGATAGACAAAGAGAGAAAGAAAGAGAGTGAAAAGAGATGATCGAGAGAAAAACATAGAAAACGAGAGAGATAGAGAGAGAAGAAAGATGAGGGAGAGAGACGGAAAGCGAGATAGAGAGAAGAGAGATGAGTGAGAGAGATAGAGATAGAGAAGGAAAAAAGATGAGAGAGACAGAGAGAAGAGAGATGAGCGAGGGACAAAAAGAAAAAGAGACAGAGACAGAGACAGAGACAGACGGACAGAGAAGAGTGATGAGTGAGAGAGAGAAAGAGAAGAGAGACAGAGACATAGAGAGACAAAGAAGAGTGATGAGTGCGAGAGAGAGAGAGAAGAGAGATAGAAAGATGAAAAAATGGGTGAAAAGAGAAATGTTCAAAAGAGTAAGACGACGTCGTTTTTATTTATTTTTGTAACTGAAAAATACCGTTGCATTTATTTAAACCATTTTATGACTATATATATATGAAGCCGTCTCAAAGCCACAATATATATATATATATATATATTTTTTTATTTTATTTTGCAACGGTACGTATTACAATAGCAAAAAACTCTTTTTTTTTTTTGCGACAGCAATCTCTGCCATTGCAAATACTCTATTTTTTTTTTACAACAGCAATTTCTGTCGTCACAAATACTCTATTTTTTGCGACGACAAGTTGTGCCGTCTTAAAAAGTCACATTTTTTGGCGACAGCAAGTTATGCCGTGTCAAAAAGTCACATTTTTTGCTTGAGACGACAAGTTGTGCCGTCGCAAAAAGTTTCGTCTCATAAGCCCACTTTTCTTGTAGTGAATCGTAGATAAAATTTTTTAACACATTTTTTATTAAAATTTAGTCAAATTATTTATATGTATGTTTATGTGTATATAAATATTTTAAAATGTATATTGTTTGTATATTACCCTTTTTATTGTATTTAGTAAATAAATCTAAAATAGAGATATGTGGATAGTGGTTTTGAGTTGGTTATGATCAAAGTTAGGGGTTATGGGTGAAAATGATGTTAGTTATAAGATGTGGTTATGAGATATGTGATGGTGGTTATGATCAAAATGGTATGGTTACGAGCCAAAAGGTATTGGTTATGAGATGTGGTTATGAGATATGTGATTAGTGGTTATTAAAATGTATATTGTTTGTATATTACCCTTTTTATTGTATTTAGTAAATAAATCTAAAATAGAGATATGTGGTTAGTGGTTTTGAGTTGGTTATGATCAAAGTTAGGGGTTATGGGTGAAAATGATGTTAGTTATAAGATGTGGTTATGAGATATGTGATGGTGGTTATGATCAAAATGGTATGGTTACGAGCCAAAAGGTATTGGTTATTAGATGTGGTTATGAGAAATGTGATTAGTGGTTATGAGTAAAGTAGTGTGGTTATGAGCTAAAGAATGTTGGTTATGAGATATGTGATTAGTGGTTATGAGTAAAGTGGTGTGGTTATGAGCCAAAGAATGTTGGGTATGAGATATGTGATTAGTGGTTATGAGTAAAGTGGTGTGGTTATGAGCTAAAGAATGTTGGTTATGAGATATGTGATTAGTGGTTATGAGTAAAGTGGTGTGGTTATGAGCCAAAGAATGTTGGTTATGAGATATGTGATTAGTGGTTATAAGTAAAGTGGTATGGTTATGAGCCAAATAGTATTGATTATGAGATATATGACTAATGGTTATGAGATATGTGATGTTAATTATGATCAAAGTGGTGTGCCTATGAGCCAAAGGGTGTTATGAGATATGTGATTAGTAGTTATGATATATGTGATGTTAGTTATGAGCCAAAGAGTGTTGGTTATGAGATATGTGGGTAATGGTTATGAGATATATGATTGTTGATTATGAGATATGTGATTTTGGTTATGAGCAAAGTGATGTAGTTATGAGTCAAAAGGGTATTTGGTTATGAGATATGTGGTTATTAGTTATAAGATATATGATATTGGTTATGATCAAAGTGATGTGATTATGAGCAAAGGGGTGTTGATTATGAAATATGTAATGTTGGTTATGAGTCAAAGGGGGATTCGTTATAAGATGTGGTTATGAGCTATATGAGTAGTAGTTATGAGATATGTGATTAATAGTTATGAGATATGTGATAGTGGTTATGATCAGAGTGGTGTGATTATGAGCTAAAGGATATTGGTTATGAGATGTAGTTATGAGATATGTGATTGTAGTTATGAAATATGTAATATTGGTTATCAACAAAATGGTGCTGGTTATGAGATATGTGGTTATTAGTTATAAGATATGTGATATTGGTTATGATCAAAGTGATGTGGTTATGAGCAAAAGGGTGTTGATTATGAAATATGTAATGTTGGTTATGAGTCAAAGGGGGATTGGTTATACGATGTGGTTATGAGCTATATGAGTAGTAGTTATGAGATATGTGATTAATAGTTATGAGATATGTGATAGTAGTTATGATCAGAATGGTGTGATTATGAGCTAAAGGATATTAGTTATGAGATGTAGTTATGAGATATGTGATTGTAGTTATGAAATATGTGATATTGGTTATCAACAAAATGGTCCTGGTTATGAGATATGGTTATGAGATAAGTGATGAGAGCTCATAACTAAGTTATGATTAATTTGATTCTAGTTATGAACAAATATGATTTTGGCTCATAACTATAAAAAGTGACCTGTTTACCAGGTCACTTTTAATGATGTCTCTCAATCTGAGCCATTGATTTTCGATGTACCATACATTTTTTAAACAAAATGTACTATAGACTTTCCCAGATTTATGAGGCCTCTGACATTCCACAAAAATAGCTTCAATGGTTCTTCCTATTGATCAAGATAGACCTTGAATTAAACTCAAGCACTACAAAATCCTGAAAGAAAAGATCTTCCTAGATTGTTTAAAATATTTATTGCAATTCTCAAGTCTGTCATACTGACAATGAATAAATCATCTGCAGAACCCAATTCAAGAGCATCTTTGTCTATCCAAAAAGACTTGAAGCACTTTCATCTTGGTAATTAGAACTTCAGCCCATAATGAAAGGAGACGGCCAGACAAACCTTTAGAATTATAGGTTCTCATCCCCTTTGCCCCAGATCGATCTAATAGCTTTCTTGGAAACAGAGGAGAGCTTTGGCTCAAGATAATTAGCTTCCTTGTCTTTCGCTATTTTCCCAATAAACAAAGACCTCTGACATTCCACGATAGTATCTTTATAATTTGCGCTTGAGAAACTTGCAGAGCTTGGCCTTCTTGTATGAAATCCTTTAAGATGTCTTTTCGATCACCAAAGTCAATATCTAAAGATTTGGGAATTTGAAAAGCTTGATTGATCTGCTGTGGCACGCAGGAGAGCTTGTGAATCTGAATCATTTTTGTTTAGGGGCTAGTCGCACAGCCTTCTTTGTGAACTTTGTTGTTGTAATTTCGAATTGCTTGAGAAGAGGTGGAAGATTGAAGTATCGAGAGTTGATGAAATATCATTTTATTTCCTAAATTATTACGCGAAAGATTAATTTGGCACCCAGACTTTGTATTATTTTAATTTCACTTCTTCACTTTTTAAAATTTGATTAATTTATCCTCTGTCGTCTGTTTTCATTTGCAATAGGAAAATATTTGAGGGCCCTAATTTCTGTGACTCAAATGGCTCAAATTTGCCAAAACGACGTCGTTTTGACAATTTTGATGTTGTTTTGTACTCAAAACGACGTCGTTTTGGCAAATTCGAGCCATTTGAGCCACAAAAATTAGGACCCTCTATCATTGTTGTTTACAATAAAACGAAACTTGCCGACGTGTCATCAAACTTCATTTGAAACTTTATTTTACCTTCAAATTATACCAAAAATCAATTAGCCCCGAAATATTAAAAAAAATAATAATAATTTAATTAATCACCTTGTTTGGTTCTAATTTTCTGAATTCAACTTTTTGAAAATTGATTTTTTTATGTTCTATATTTTTTTTTATTGAATTTTTTTAATATTTTAAATAATTT